AGAAAAAAAACCCAGTGTCCAATTCTAAACCCGATTCCAATTCCAACTCAATTCAACATAATCATTCACCCAACTTCAACAATCATATTTACAAATTCAACTTCAATTGAATGAATACATATTAACGAATCCTAATCTATGAATTAATTTTAGTGGGAGATAAATCACTCACCTCGATTGTTCGGCGACGAATCACAAATCAATGGGCGAAGAACTCTGGTTTAGAACTCCGGTGACGAACTCAGGCGAAGCTCCGGCGAATTCCGGTGAACTCCCTGTCTGGTCTGGTTCGGCGGAAGGGTAGAAGAAGAAGAGGACTCGTGATGCAGAATTGAATTCAGATTGGAACATATACTCTGTATTTAAAGAGGTGACTTGGCCAAATTGGTTTAGGACTAGGAGTAATACGTTAACACAATTAATAATATTACATTATTATATTATAAAAATCCTTTTATTTACTTTTTAAACTCTAACTTTTATTCTACTCACCACGCTTTACACAAAAGTCTAATTTAAACAAACTATATATCGTTGGTCATCATTTTACGAGATCTACCCAAAGACCTAATTTTTAATTAAAATGGTCAATTTTACAAATAATTCATAATTTAGAGTCAATAAATAGTATATTTATTTTTATTAAATTAACGACTAACTACTAAGCCGGTTTTCAAGGCGTTACAACATATGTATCTTTCAATGATTTATCCTTACTTAATTTGTTTATTTGGATTTTTTATTTTATTTTTTCAATAATTAAATCAATTTTCACTATTTTTTTATTTGATAACAAATTGATTATTTTGGTCAAGTTGCTTTAAACTTTGACCACAAAGTGTACAAAAAGTAAATTATATTCAATTATAATGTAAATTATAAAAAAATGTATCCATTTAAAATAACGTTTTCATATATTAAGTTTTTATAAAATTTAATTATTTAAAACTGTGTTTAATTTGTATTTAAAGTGTCACATAGTTTTACCAAAAAAGTCCAATTATTATAATCTTTTTGAGATGAAGGAAGTATATATATTAAAAATATTAATATATACGGAGTATTATTCAATGATTGTATTCATTTGTAGTTTATATGTTACACCATTTTTAAATATGTTTCTTACATAATTAGTTATATATATAAAAAAATTATAAAATTTATTTATCTTTTAAAAAAAGAAAGTCTTATGTTGTTTTTAATAAAGTATTCAGCATATTCTCTTTTAATACATCACAAAATAAAGGTTTATATAAATTTTAGTACATGTACATCAATATTAAAACTAAAACTTTTCTCTCAAAAAAGATAGTTTATAAATAGAAAATATTTATCAAACACCATATATCATTAGATGATTTAAAATAAACAATATTTTATTTTTGAGATGTTAAAATTTAAAAATATGCGAGCCATGCTAGTTTCTTTAATATTTACCAAAAAGGCCAAATGCCACGTGGATATTTCTATTGTTAAAGATCATTGTGCTATTGCCTACCGTTAGTCAACCAAGGGTTCAAAAGTTATAGACCATAACTCCCCACTCAAATGCTAACTCGCGCCAAACTGTAGCCTCTCTCTCTCTCTCTCATTCTCTCTCTTCCCAA